CAACAATGATGCCTGCAACCAAAAAATGGCCAGGCGTTGTGGCCTGTAGTCCCAGCTACTTGGGAGGCTGAGGCAGGACACTCGCTTGAGCCCAGGAGTTGGAGGTTGCTGTGAGCGTGATGCCACAGCACTCTACCCAGGGGGACAGCTTGAGGCTCCGTCTCAAAACAAACAAACAAAAAAAAAGAATAGAGAGAGTGACCCTAGTCCAGGGGCCATAGGTGGCCACCACACTGCTCCTCCTCCAGCAGATGCAGCCCTTACCAGATTCCATTCCCACCATTGCCTGGCCAGGAGTCCAAGGGTGACATATCACCTGCACACCCTACCCAGTAGCCTTGCCCTGCCAATGTTCAGCCAGCCAAAAGTAAAAGAGCAGTAAACCCAGGCAGTTCTGCAGTGCTGGAACAAGCAGCTCTACGTTTGGGGCCTCAGGGTAAAGTGAGAGGGACAGGTCTCTGTTGGAATCCACACCTGTGCCCAGACCCAAGAGAGTGAAAAGCAAATAAACGCAACTGACAACAGGATGGCAGCTTCCCTGGGGTCCTCCCTACCGGGGGTACCCAGAAGGAAAGGCACTGGATATGGAGGGGGCCGGTGGGTGTCCCCAGAGCCTGGTAACAAACAAGCATTTCCGCCTCTGGCACACCCTGAGTCCTGGACAGGCGGCCCTGTGCTGTGGTTTAACGACCCCAAACCCATTCCAGTAGGGCTTAAAATGACAGCACTGGCCCCAACCCCAAATTCCACAATGTCGTGTTGTGTTTGTTTCCTGATGTAGTTAGTTTCTCTCCGCTGGTTACAGCACAATTGTTTAGTATTACATATACACTTGAACTGATATTTCTTGGCTTGTCACATTTACACATTAATTATCTAGTAACTCGTTGCTGCAAAAGATTCTCCTGATTCCAGACACATTAGGATAGTTAGTTGTGTCTCCAATTTTCGTTTTCTAATTATCATCCATAGAAACACACCTACAAGCAACCACTCAAAATGCTTTCCAGCTGCTTAGAATTTATCTTCATATTTCTAAATAATATGCCAGGACCACTACTTCTTCTTCTTCTTCTTCTTTTTTTTTTTGTAGAGACAGTCTCACTATGTCGCCCTTGGTACAGTGCTGTGGTGTCACAGCTCACAGCAATCTCCAACTCCTGGGCACTCCGAGACCAGCCTGAGCTGAGAGTAAGAGCCCATCTCTATTAAATAAAATAGAAAAATCAGCTGAGCATTGGGGCAGATGCCTGTGGTCCCAGCTACTAGGGGGGCTGAGGCAAGAGGACTCCTTGAGCCCAAGACTTTGAGGTTGCTGTGAGCTGTGATGCCATAGCACTCTACTCAGGGCAACAGAGTGAGACTTTGTCTCAAAAAATAATACACTCTAATCTTTACATATACTGAGAGTTCTATAATACTCTCCTCAATTCTATAAAATCTACCAAATAACTTATTTCACTTTCTTCCTGGGGACCTCCCTTCCGGAGCGCTCTGTTTTTTGGAATTTCTTTCCCCCATCACCTTGGGAATTTTCTAAATCTCCTTTTGTGCTAATGTATTTCTTAGATTCCATTTCATCTCTCTTGGTTTACTTCATTTTGGAGGAACACATTCTTCAGTAGCTTCCTGAGAAGGGATGTTTTTGATACTTTGCAAGTTTCTGAAAATACCTTAATTCTACACTCAAATTCGTTGACAGTTTGGCCTGGATATAGAACTATAGGTTTGGCTCGGGGCCTGTGGCTCAAGTGGCTAAGGCACCAGCCACATACACCAGAGCTGGCAGGTTTGAATGCAGCCGGGGCCTGCCGAGCAACAATGACAACTATAGCCAGGTGTTATGGCCAGCACCTGTAGTCCCAGCTACTTGGGAGGCTGAGGCAAGAGAATCGCTTAAGCCCCTGAGTTGGAGGTTGCTGTGAGCTGTGACGCCACAGCACTCTATCCAGGGCGACAGCTTGAGGGTCTGTCTCAAAAATATATATATTTTTTTAAATAATTGGGGGTAAATCTGACAAAAATGTACAACACCTGTATGCTAAAAAATTCAGAACATTGCTGAGAAAAATTCTAAAAGACCTAAATAAAAAAGGCCGGGCAAGGTGGCTCACACCTGTAATCCTAGCACTTGGGAGGCCTAGGCAGGTGGGCCGGAGCTCATGGGTTCAAGACCACCTTGAGCCAGAGTGAGACCTTGTCTTAAAAAATACAGGTGTTATGGCAGGCGCCTGTAGTCCCGGCTACTCAGGAGGCTGAGGCAAGAGAACCGCTGAGCCCAAGAGTTTGAGGTTGCTGGGAGCTATGACTCCGCGGCATTCTACCCAGGGGCGAAGAAGGTAGACTCTGTTTCAAAAAAAATAAACAGGCTCGGCACCTATAGCTCAACCGGCTAAGGCGCCAGCCACGTACATCTAAGGTGGCGGGTTCGAATCCCCAGCCCAGACCCGCCAAACAACGATGGCTGCAACCAAAAAATGGCCAGGCGTTGTGGCGGGCACCTGTGGTCCCAGCTACTTGGGAGGCGGAGGCAGGAGACTCGCTTGAGCCCAGGAGTTGGAGGTTGCTGTGAGCTGTAATGCCACGGCACTCTACCCAGGGGGACAGCTTGAGGCTCTGTCTCAAAAAAAATAAAAAAATAAAAAAAAAAAATAAACACAACCCTAAATAAAATGAGCAAAGTGTGATGTTCGTGGATCAGAAGACTCGATATTGTTAAAATGTCTCTTCTCCTCAAATTTATCTTAGATTCAATGCAATCTTCCACAAAATCTCAGCAGGCTTTTTGTAGAAACTAACCAGCTGACTCTGAAATTTCTATGGAAATTCAAAGGACCCTGAAAAAGAAAAAGAAAACTGAAATCATACAACCTGGTTTCAAGGCTTCTTAGTGAAGGCAATGATTTTTTAATTTTGAAAAGCATCTATTTCATTTCCAAGGGTGACGTTTTATTCTTTGAAGATTACCTGTTTGAGCAGCCTTTTCTTATTTTCAGAATGGGATACCTTCTGGCTCTTTCTTACAACTAGATTTTTTTTAGGGTGTCTTTGGAACTTTGCCTTTCTATTTCAGGCTGTAGATTTTCTTTAGATGTTTGATGGTGCTTGGTTGTTTAACCACATTTATGAAAGACAAAACAAAAGGTTCCGAACACACTGTGTGGGTGTGTACAGGTGTGTAAGAAATGTGGCAAATGCATTAAGTTGAGGTGTATTTATAAAATACAGAGTAAATTCACAACTGTTTTCCTACCTAATCCTCAGAAAAACCCTGCAAATTGTCCAACCCTCTCTAGTGCTATCACCCATCTTATAGGACGGGAGAAAGGGTGGTTTTGTGAGGACACCCGCTCTCGGTGGCAGACCTGGTATTGGCTACTGGGTGTCTGCCTCCCAGACCAGGGACAACCAGGGACAGCAGACCCCAGAGGTTGCAGGATGTCGGCAGGGGTGCCAGCTCAATGCAGGGCCTCCATCCTCCCTGCAGCCTGATGAGTTCCGTGGGCCCAGCAGCCCAGAAGCGCTGTTTAATCAGTAACTGGCTTGCTTTCTTTTATAACTCTAGCTCTTGGCTCCATTTTCAGGCATAATAGAGATCACCTTGTGTAACCCTGTCATTTTACTGAGAAGGAGAATGAGGCGGAGAGAGAGGGAGTAGCCTGCCAAGGTTAGTAAAGTCAGCACAGCAGCAAAGCTGAGGCCAGAGCCCAGCTCCTCTGACTCACTCCGGGGTTCCAGGCACGTGCATGGTCAGCCCCACAGCCAGGGAAGGGGACACGAGGAGGAAGGAGGGGGAACTGGTCCAACCGTACCCCTAACAGTCTCTCTAGGCCACAGAGCCAACCCCAGAGACAGTATGCCTGTGCCTGCGTTTGCCTCTTCAATCTCTCTTTCTTCAAAGTAAACGTATCTGCAGGTGCACAACACATACCGTGTTTCCCCCAAAATAAGACACTGTCTTATATTTATTTTTTCTCAAGAAGACACACTAGGACTTATTTTCAGGGGATGTCTCCCTCTCTGCGCTGAAATGCATGGCGTGGCTAGGTCTTATTATGGGGGTAGGGCTTATATTTAACAAATGCATAGAAATCCTGCTAGGGCTTATTTTGGGGGTAGGTCTTAT